GTCCATTTGATTTAGGACCTCTGTATATGCCATTATTTCCCTATTTAGCTTCTGTCTAGATGATTTGCTTCTTGTTGAGAGTGGAGTGTTGAAGTCTCCTACTATTAAGGTGTGGGATCAATTTGTGATTTAAGCTTTAATAATGTTTCTTTTATAAATCCAGGTGCCCCTGTATTTGGGGCATAGATGTTCAGGATTGTGATGTCCTCCTGGTGGATTTTTCCTTTGATGAGAATAAAGTGCCCCTCCTCATCTTTTTTGATTAATTTTGGTTGAAAGTCTATTTTTTTTAGATTTTAGGTTAGCTACCCCAGCTTGTATTCTGGGACCCTTTGTTTGAAAAACATTTTTCCAGCCCTTTGCTCTGAGCTAGTTTTTATCTTTGTTGCAGAGGTGTGTTTCTTGGATGCAGCAGAATGTTGGATCCTGTTTCAGCTGCCACTCTTTTAGTCTGTTTCTTTTATTGCAGAGTTGAGTCCATTGATGTTGATAGGTAATAGTTACCAATGTATGTTATTTCCTTTTATTGTGAAGTTGGTGGTGTTACTTTGTTTCAATATTTTGTTCATTTCCTCTCTATATGCCTCTATATGTGCCTCTGAGATTTGCTCTTCTACATTTGTCGTTATTTGTTTGGCTGTATTTGCATGTATGCCTTTGAGAGATTTGTTCATTTCCTCTTTATGTGCCTCTAATAACTGGATAAGCATAGGTTTGAACTTATTTTCCTTTGTTTCTGTTGAATTAAAATATCCATCCTTTGATTTTTGTGGTTGCTGGTGAAGCCATAATGTTTTCTTTTATGGGTAACTTTCACTGTTTGTTCCTGGAGCCTGTACTGCAGACTGGGTCCATATGTCTCTCGTGTCCGGAATATTCTTCAGGAAGATCAAAGAGGTCCACTGGTTTGTGAGTGGATGTTGGTGTTTCAGCTGTAGCTAAGGGAGGAAGCTAGCTGGTACATGTGCGCAAGTGCAGGAGTGTGCATAGAGGTGTGCCTTGGAGGACTGGGTACTAGTGCATATAGATGTCTGGAAGGCTGGAGTGTAAGTGCAGGTGGGAATGCTGGCATATTTGGTGGGCTGAAGGATCACGCACAGGTGCCCTGAATGCCTCTGTGACCCACAGGCCTGTCTTATTTTTCTTCAAGCACTCAGATCTATCTGGGTTGTACCATCTTGGCTCCAGGAATTGTTTGCCTGGACTCCACTGGGAGACCCACACAAAAGGGACTTCGATGTTGAGAATGCTGTCCCAAGGATCCCTATGTTGTCCACAGTTTGAGTGTGAGTGAGAAGGATCAGATGTCTAGCTGCTAACGTAGAGGGACCCTGGATCTGGGGTTCTGCATGCACTCTCTTGAAGGCACACTCACTCACCCACAGGCCTATGCAGAAAGCATAGGGTCCTCCCACACCCATTCTCTGCTCTCAGATTTGGGCCTGTAAGGCCAAATGAAAGTGTAAGAGATCTGTTAGTGGTATCCATTGTTTGGCCACTATGCAGGGAGGTCCATAGTTGGGCCTGCCTCTGAAGTCTCAGTCACCATTTAAGAAGGCTGGTGCTTGGGGCTGTGGCAGCCACTGCTGCAGCAGCAAAGGAAGGAGGCTCATGCTTGTATCCAAGATGTCCCAGCTCACGGGTTGTCTCGTCTAGCCCAGGAAGGCTCAGTATCGATAGTCTAGCTTTGGCTCCCCCTCCACTCACCAGTTTCAAGGTTTTGGATTTTCTGTCCCTCAGTATGGTGCACACTGGTCACTGCCATCTTGGAGCCCTGATTATTTTTTTAAATAAAAACAAATTTATACTGAATGTCTACTATGTCCAGGCATCATGGAAGTTGCTAGAGACATAAGCTGAATATTCATATCTTGATGTTGTTACACTTGAGGGAATGTTTGCTGGAAGTGGCAATGTTCCTGGGATGTTTTATAATGAGATCACCTTGAAGAAAGATATACCCATCTCAGAGTCATGAATCATATCCTCAGGAGGTTAAAATGGTAGAATATTTCTGGGTATGTTCAGTACCCGTTATCAAAGCAGCTCTGTTCTGCTTTCCCTTCACCCGCCCCCTCTCTCTTTCGTGTGTGGTGTGTGTATACATATCAAAAGGATCAAAATTCATTAACTGTTTCAGTGTCTTGGAAGAAGAGGCCACAAAAAAGATATAGGAGGGATTTGATTTGACAGAATGAACTGAAAATGACACTAATGGGAGAATAAAGACGTGCACAAAGGCGGGTGGTAGGAGAACTGGGGATAGTCACATGGACTCTTAAGTATTTAAGCTTGCCTGGAGCAGGGAGTGGATGATGAGAACAGATATAATATTGGAAGAACTTGATACTGAGGCAGTCATGGTAGGTGCTGACAGTACATATATGTTCATTCTCTTTGTGCATAAACAGCTATTGAGAAGCAGGGGCCAGGCCCATTGAAGGTGGATATATGTCCTCTCATCCTAGAGATCTTGTCCTTCACTGTGAACTGGGCATGGAACTTGAGATTATGAAAATATTTAATGAAATCACATTTCAGCTAGCTTGTCTTCAAGTTGCCCTTTAAGACTTGCCCATTTATGGACAGTTAATATCCTGATAAGTTAGGGGTTATCTTTGACTCACTATGTGTGTCTTACTGGGATGTGATATTCCACACTGTCTTTGATCCTTCTTAATTATTCCTGCTGGCACAGGTTTGTTTTATTCAAATGAATCTCTAAAGACTTATTTTGAATAGTGGCTGAGTAAATGCTTCAGGCTTCAATAGATAATCTGGATTAAGGAGCAACAAATTTTGCACTGTTCCTCCTTTCCCATGGATTGTTAGATAAAAGAGAATTGGGGAAAGTCTTGTTAGAGAGATGAGCATAGACACCAGAGATGGGCCCTTGTGTTAATGATCTATGGCATAATACACTCAAATCTGTTTGGGATGGTATTTATTCTGCTTATAAATTTGAAGAACAGGAAGGTTAGGATCAAAAGCTTCAGTAGAATCAAGACAGTTTACAGCATCTACTTTCTCTCTACCTTTGTGACACTACAGTCTAACTTATTTCTCCCATAGTCCTGCTAGGTTTTTCTGCTAGGATCTCATTGAGCGTTTAGTTTAACCACATAAGATGATGACAGGGATTACCTCTCTAGTTAACATCAGCAATAAATGCTAATTACCAAAATATTATAAGGTTATATAGAATAAGGAATCAAGCTACATCACTCCATCTCACCCCTGCCTCCCAACCCTAGGTTTCCAGGATCTTTGAATATGAGCTGCCCTTCATCATTGAAGGATACACTCTTGTGTTAACACACATTCAAGGTATCTTTTCTTTTGGTTTAGCTCAAACTTTTTGAAAAAACAGAGCAACTGAGTCCACCTGCCCAGTATTATAGTTAAAACTTACCATGGCCAGAAGAATTCTTGGTTATCTTTTTTATCACCCTGAACATCAAAAACTTGATGGTTTTGACCTGATAGTGCCAAGGAAAGAGATCAGTATCTTTCCTTCTTGAACTATGAACTCAAACAGGGCATGCGTTGGAATCTGTTCTTTATGCTCAGTGTGCTCAGGAATATTGCCACACCTAAAGCGTTCACTGGTGTGACTACATACAGGCTCCCATAGAAAAGCCCCAACCTTTTTTGTTTGTTTGTTTTGGAGAGCTGTTACTTTGAAAATTTACCCTACTCCTTACCTCTGCTCTTAAAAAAAAAAAAATCAAAGAGCCGTTTGTCCATCTCCTTAAGCTGTATGCAAGGTGTATTGTGTGTACATTTTTATGAGGATAATTTTGTTTTTTTTTTTATATTGAGTCCTTTAGTTTTTGGATTTATTTCTTTTTATTTTGTGTGTATCTGTGTAACGTATTATCTGTATGTGCAACATGTAGGTGCAAAGGTCAGAGAAGACCAGGTGAGGGTTTTGGAACCCCTCCCTCCCCTGGAACTGGAGTTATAGGCTGTTGTGAACCATGTGATGCAGGTGCTGGGAAAAAAAGCCAGGGCCTCTCTAAGAACAGAAAAAGGTCTTAACCACCAAATCATCTCTCCAGCCCCTAAATTAGAGTCTTGCTACAGAGAACACATAAGCTCTGATATAGCATCCCAAACCTTTGGAAATGGAGATGAGCAGAGTGACTATCTCTAAGCGACTCTGAAGATGCTGACATTAATGGTACAAGTAACAGGTATAAGGTATAAGGCCGGGCATGTACTCTCAGGCCCCCAACTGTACCCTACTTCTCAAGTTCATTTTCTTCTTCCAACGGCAACACTTAGAATATTTCTTCCAAAGCAACACTTAGTGTACTCCTTTTCTTTCTACAAAGACCACATTTTTTGTCTTTAGTTATTTCCCATTGGAACCCCCACTTTCACCGCTTCATTCTTCACCTCTGTTTACTCCTAGATTTCAATCTGAAGTGACATTTGGCTTGTTGTTGTTTGTAGAATTGCAATATATTTGGGCAGTGTTAGACTTCCATCCAACAGGAGAAACTCTGGTGGCTTTTGTTATTGTCATTGTTGTTGTCTTTTGAAGCCAAGTGGTAACCCAGGCTAGTTTTGAACACAGTATGTGTTTGAAGATGACCTTGATGCTTCTGCCTTCACTCACTAAGTGCTTAGATTCCAGATCACTGTGAAGTGCAGTGAGGGCTTAGAATCACTTAACATCTTGAAAATCCTGGACACTTTCGAAGTTTAATTCAAAATGGTATCAGACCGATATTGTTGACTGGCTTCCCACAAACCCTTAGGTACTAGGGATTAAACCCAGAGCCCTGTGTTTGCTAAGCAAATGTTCTACCGCTGAGCCACATCACCTTAAATACAAGTTTTAGTTTTACCAATAGATTCTGATGTGTAACCAGAGACTGGAGTCCCTGGTCCAACCCAGCAGGAATCAACAAGGAGTGTTGGGGTCTTTCATGCTGTGGTAACCTGAAGTTTTGTTATCTGCACAGAGTAACCACCTCCCTTTATTTCTCCAGATGGTGCTCCTGGCCAGATGTGAGGGGCACTGCAGCCAGGCATCACGCTCAGAACCCTTGGTGTCCTTCAGCACTGTCCTCAAACAACCTTTCCGTTCCTCCTGTCACTGCTGCAGACCTCAGACCTCCAAGCTGAAGGCTCTGCGCCTGCGCTGCTCAGGGGGCATGCGACTTACTGCCACTTACCGGTACATTCTCTCCTGTCACTGTGAGGAATGCAGCTCCTGAGGCTTGCTGCTGATTGGCTTTCTGGCTGAAACAACCACAGGAGCACATCAATCAGCCAAAGAAGGACTGGCAAGAAAAGAGTTAAGGCAGACAAAGATGGAGCAAGTCCCACAGGACTGCGCATAGTCTAGTCCTAAAGACCTGATATGCTTTTGACAGAAAGTGACACTGGGAACTCATTTTCCATTCCTATCTTCTTTCCCTGAAAGAATTTCTTTTGGTTACTTTTCAGATTCAGGCATTTCCCCTGTTGGCTCTGAATTTGGTTTGGGTTTTTGACAACTCTACATTAGTGGGAAAATGCGGGGCCCTGTGCAAGAGTGTGCCAGGCAGTCTGTATTTGGTGCTTATTAGGGAAGAATTTACCCAACTTTTCTTAGGGGATCTTCATTTGTTGTTTTACCTTGTCATTTTGGTTTAAGATTTGCCTCTAAAGGTTACCTGTTTCAAGTTACAGACATCAAGTCCATGTATACGTTTAGTGAGTTTAACTGCTACTAAAATAACTAACACACAAGTTCTTTTATGTGACTGCACAACTCCTGACAGCTATGGTTATTATTCAGAAATTACTTAAGAAATATAAAGGTGGCATAAGGAATGTATAACCTGAAGGCTTTTGCAGGTAAAGGATGGTAAGCTTTTGTGAGGAAGTAGGCTTTCAAAGACTCTCACACACATACACTCAGATGGGTCTTGCACTGACTCTGGAGAAGGCATATATTATTAGTGGCATGGAGAACACACCATACTCATAATTAAGAATTAGTCAAGCATGTAGGAATATATTTGTAGGTGTGCAATAGCTTCAGCCATGTCTTGAGCATCATTCTATAACATCCACCTTTATATGTGAGGCTTGTTACCATAGTGATGGCGTGGCATACCCTCTGAAAATTTCCTTCCAATATATATTTGGTCTTTGAGGCTCAAAATTTGAATTCTCCCCATGTTTTGAAATAAAAATAGAGTATCTTCAAAATTTTGGCTGTGTAAGTACTGTTATTTCTTCTCTATGGTCCACTTTCATCTCCTCCTTCACTGCCACCACCACTTTCTCCTTCTCCTCTTAGTAGTCTTCCCTTCTTTAATGTTCTGTGATGTGGATATAAGATCAATGTAGTTGCTTTTTGGACACTTCCAAGGATATGGTAAAAAGCATGGACAATAAGAGGAAAAATGAGTTAAAGAATGCAACAACAACATATTGTGGTGGGTGGGCTTTGATGTTGGTCTCAAATTTTAGCAAAAATCTGATGTGTTCTGACTTCCTTGGGTACCATGGTGTGAAATAGAAATGCCTCATCCCTTTTTAATCTCTTCATTTTTTTTTTATCAGAAGAGATTAAGTATCCATAAGTCAGGTCAATTGATCTGTCAGAACAGAGTCCACAAACATCAGTTGAAGGTCTGCACCATTGAAGGTCTGTGCTCCAAATCTAATGATGCTACTACGATCTTCCTCAGCACTGCAGGAATTGTGACATTGGAATAGCATTATGTTCACGTCAGGCACTTCAATGTGAATCCCAACATGAAACTTCAGTTTCCTGGGCATCCTTGACACCACACTGTAGTGACTAACCTGAAATGACATTGTTCCCCATTTTTAACACAACTAACCGATAAATCATTTTTCCTGCAGAGATGATGGTTTTCTACACTTTTTGGTACCAGTTCCACACTATTTTATGAAAGCCAGCAGGGTTAAAATTCTATTCATAGTGTTGAAACAGAATAAAACAATAACAACAAAAACCTTGAACTTGATTTTAACCTCCATTAGGATGGAGCTAGCCAGTTCACTGAATTGAAAGAGTTCCTCATCCTGAAAGCAAATTTAAAATGGCAATTTGGACAATTATATGAAGAGAAAATTGTCATGTGAAGAACTAATTTTAACACTGAAAGTTATGTAGCTGTGCAAACCTGTTTTTGAGGTAGGATCTTGCTGTTTCCCAGGCTGGCCTTGAATTCTGAACCTTCTTGTCTCAGTCCCCCAGAGTATACTGCCACACCCAATGGCTATAATTCCTACCAGATAATGGAAGGATTTATTTCTGGCCAGACTTGTGGATTTCTTTCCTGTTGCTAATCAAAAGTAGGAATGGCTAGAAAGATCGCCCTGAAATTATTGCTCTTTTAGAACACATGAGTTTGTACCTTAGGACACACATCAGGTGACTTACAAATGCCTTTAACTTAAACTTCAAGGGATTCAGTTCCCCCTTCTAGGTTCTATAAGTATCCATCCATCTACAGACAGACAGACAAATGAAAATAAAGTAAATATATTTCTTTAAGTAGAGATGATATACCTGTATCTTTAAAAATGTCTCTTCTTGGCTTTGAAATGCCATTTGACTTTGAGAGTCTATACTATAAAGCAACAAACCTAAGTCTTTATTTGCTTCTTAAATGTGTAGGACTATGCCTGGGGGTGTCATATGACTCAGATCTTCTAAAATATTCAGAAGCCATAGAAAAGGCCCAATTCAAATTCTATTACATGGTCCTCTGTTATATAATATTTAGAAAATACTTGCAGCATTTAAGGGCCTTTAACAAGAACCCAGAATCTTCACTAATTATATAAAAAAAAAAAAGATGCCTACAGAAGTCCAGGGGCTTGGATTTGAAACTGGAGACCAAACCTGCGGCTCATGACATCCATGAAAGTCTCCATTTTCCTTCACCAGTCAATAGCACTCTGCTATTTTTAGAATCTAGCATGCTGCATTGAATGGAGAAACTGGAAAAGAGTATGGGGAGACAGAGTGAAGTTTAATAGCAATAAACCAAAGCTCAGAAAGAAAAAAAATAATAATTATTTTTCCCCTAAAGACTTTAAAATAGCCCTGGGAACCTAGAGAATTAAGATGTTATTGGATATTAGGTTACTATGGAATTTGTACTAAATCTTTAAAAAATTAAACATATTTAGCTATATTCTAGTGTTTACCCCTAAGGACGAAGAAAGAACCAAATGAAAACATTGATAACTTACGAACATTATTCCTGGAATGCCTAAGAAATGCGTGCTTCCCTTCTCCATTTACTATGCATGAAAAAAGGAAATTAAAATGTTACACTTTTTACAGCCTACATCTTAGAAATCTATATATTAACTCATAATACTGGAGGAAAGAATTTTTGTAAATTGATCCAACTTCTATTATTTGTGAGCACTTAATAATAATAAGTTACTACTGCAATGGAAGAGAAAGAGCCTTCTGAACTTACATGATTTTCCTCACATCCTGGATTCCTAGAAGTATTTTTTAATGTCCTATATGTATAGTAAGCTCTTGAATTTTCTCTAGAAATTTAGAATGAAGGACCAGCCAACCTTTCTTTGTTCTGATGAAATGGCAGTGTGGTTTCTCTTAAACGCAAGAGCTTACTTACTTACCTAGTACATTATTTATTGTTAAATAGAGCAAGCTGTGTGTGCATTTGCGCCAGAGGACTGTTAGACACTTAGACTGTCATTGTGACTTAGGAAGAATTAAAATATGGATTTACTTTTGGTTTTCCTCAGACCCCACTGAAACATGAGTTTTGAGAAGGTAAGCATTTTATTACATAAGACCAAGTGTGTTGGCAACAGAAGACATGAAGATGGCTGAAGAATAAGAATTAAGTCAGACAAGAGCTCTAAAAAGAGACCAACAAAACAAACAACAACAACAAAAAAAAAAACTACAAAACAAAACCAAAAACAAACCATTCATGGATATAACCTAGAACCCCTCCTCAGATGTAGCCCATGGTAGCTCAGTATCCAAGTGGGTTCCCTAGAAAGAAGAACAGAGAATATCTCTGACATAAACTCAGTACCTGACTCTTTGATCACCTCCCCCTGAGGGAGTAGCAGCCTTGCCAAGCCACAGAGGAAGACAATGCAGCCAGTCCTGATGAGACCTGATAAGCTAGGGTCAGATGGAAGGAGAGGAGGTCCTCCCCAATCTGTGGACTTGGATAGGGGCATGGGAGGAGATGAGGGAGGGTGGGATTGGGAGATGAGAGAGGAGGCCACAGCTGGGATGCAAAATGAATAAATTATAAAAAATAATAATAATTAATAAAACAACAACAATAAAAAGAATTAGGTCAGAAAAGGAAGCATATCTTGCTGCTGATGTCCCCTTTGTGGCTCTAGAGTGAAATACATCCTGGTGGACAGACGCTCCTTTTAGGAGCTATAACAACGGAGCATCTTAAAGTTTTGAAGAATTTCACATGCAGCTGTACGGAAAAATCCAAAGAAGAGCTATTTGCTTAGTAAAAATCTGTGTCCATACAGAAGCAGGTAACCAGCTACATTTAGTGAAAGACAGCATTTCATAAAAAAAAAAAATTACATGCCCAAAAGTTTGTATAAGTGTCCCTTTTCTTCCTCTAAGTCACACTACATGAATAAAACATGTTAGTCTACTCAAACCTTATGTCCAGAAGAGCATGGTTTTTTTTCTTTTATCCCATAGAAAATATGATTTGAAATGTCTTCCTAAGCTCATTCTGTATCCCCCAAAATCAATTCCACCTTTCTAAGCGGTAAAAAGAAATTTAAAATTGAACAACTATAGCAAACATGGAAGTATTCTGATCAGGTTCATCTTCATGGAGGGGATTTCTACCTTACTTGTCAGACTCTGAGGGCCTTATTCAGCTTCAAAGACACCTTTCCCAAGAGTATACTGTTGAAGGGGAGGATGTTTATCTAGTCCAGGATAGAGACCTGGCTCCTTTGGCACAGTGAAGAACAATTCTTATGAATAGTGCTAGCTCCAGACCTGTCCACAGGGTTCCAGAAAATGAACTGGCGTCTTTAATCTTCAGTATAATTCCCGAGAACATACTTGTATCTTCTTTATTTCTGTATTAAACATATAGAAGCCAACAAACAAACACACACATATCTATATACACATATCTATATTCCCTGTGCTCCTCTGTACAAGAGAGCTTATCCCTAATAAATAGTAGCACCACAAACCCCATCAGTAGCTATTTTTACCTATAATTGATACAATCCCATCTAGTCTTCTTGGGTGACACATAATACTTAAGGATTCACATCAATATTTTGAGCTAGGTGTTGTGCCTACACCCATAATCCCAGTACTTGAAATGTTGAGGTAGGAGGATTTTGAGATGGAGGCCAATCTGGGCTAGACAACAAGATCAAAGCTAGTCTTGGCTACATAGATACCTTGTCTCAAAAACCAAAACACAACAACAACAAAAAACAAAACCCATAAACCAAACCAAACAACAACAAAAACAAATCAGTTTTCTGATATCCTTTAAATGCAAGATTTTAAAGTCTGTGGAAGTACCCAAGTATGTCAGCAAGAATTCTAAATGCTAAAGATATTGAGGTGAGAAAGTCACAGCCTTGTTATTCTTAAATTTTTTTCTTTTTATTTACAGTTTCCCACAGAGGTGAGAAAAAGACACCAGATACTCTGGAGTGGGAGTTACAGGGGGTTGTGAGCCACCAGATATGGATCCTGGGAACTGAACTGAGTTCCAGAAATTTTTCATTCCCTTCAAAAGGATCACTGGAACTATATGGTCATCATGGTCTCAAAGTGTAGATAAAACATCTGCGCATGCATATGTGTTCCCAAAATAAATTTAAAGTGAGAAGTTTCTATCTTCATATGAGAGCTCACTCACTTTTTAAACATTGTCCATGATTTCAAATACTAAATTTTTAGAAATGTGTTCTCATCAATCTTTTATACATTCTATTATGTATTTATACTCTTAATCCTGTTATATGTGATTTTTCCCATTTTTTGTTGGGGTATTTCCTTTTCTTTTCCTTATTTGATTCTACAGTCTCATTTCATGACTCTTTAGACAGCCATTATTGAAAGACACTATGAAAAAGCAAAACACAATTATAGACTCTAATTTGAACAAAACACAGAAGGCATGCAGTCGAATGCTCATT